CTTATTCTGATAAGCCGAGACTTCCTGTCGCATAACGCTCACTGTGTATCGGCCAAACCTCTGCCACTCTCTCGCCAGCTTGCGACCCTTTTGACGATCGTCGTCCAAAAAACAGCAAAGATCGCGCAATTCCTGGTTATCGTCGTTCAGTCTTTGGTTGGCTTCCTTCAGCAACCGCAGCTCATTCAGCTGGAAAGTAGATAGCTTTGTTAAGTCGCGCTCGTTTTATATTTCTTCAAGTTACGTTCTTCTTTGAAATTTTGTATTGTTATACACAATGTCTATAAATATGTAATCAAATGGATTTAGACACGAGAACTGTCGAGAATATTTCGATTATTTTGTTAATTGATTGCAAATTGTAACAAAGTTTATTATTATATCATAAATAACATCAAATAATTATTCAAAAAATTTATAATCGTTAATAGCTATTTAAATACATTATAGTTCAATGTATCTAGATTTTTATAGATGATAATGACAAATTTTCCATTCATCTAAATATCTTTTGTAATCGATTGTAAATTGAATCAAAATTTATTACGTAGATAACTGTTCAAAAATCCATTTAAGGGATTTATGACTGTAAATAGCTATTCAAATATATTGTTTTTTTAAATTTAGGTTTTTTATAGGTGATATCAACATATTTTCTATAGTCAAATATATTTTGTATTATTAATTCGCGTGCCTATAGTGAGAGAAATAACAGAGTCATTGATCGCCGCAGATGACGTATTCGCACCGCGGTACACATTGCTGAAAAAAAGCCTTTCACCTATTCATCACGCGTGTGCGAGCGATACGTGACCAATTCCGACCGCGTACTTTTGGCAAGCATTTTGCTGGCCAGAGGAAACCGATTGTCTGCGCGATTGTTTGCGGTTTATCTCACGTATGCGTGACTGTTTGAAATTACGACGGTTGGTTCAATCTGTGTATGACCTACAAGAGCCCCTCGAAAACTTCCGTATAGCGTGTTAAAGATTTCAAGGACAGCAAACAGCATCCTACATTTCGAAGATGTAACGAAATATTGTTAACGTAACGTTTTATTGATATCATTAGTTATATATATCACGACCTCCTAAAAAAAACGAAAGATTTTCTGGTTCTTTGCAAGATAGGTTCTATTTGCAATTTAGCTTCTGGTTAATGATTAGAAATTATAGCGGATTTATCGCAAAGCGAAAACCGTTATACAAAAATAATAGTAAACGAAATTCAAAATAAAAATAAAACGAATGATACGTATGAATAATTATTTAGATTGCGTTTTACAGTTATAACATTCTAAGTAGTCATTTCAATAGACTGTTAATTAGATCTCCTACAAGTATACGAATAACATTAATAATTTTAGAAGTTCAGAAACTCTTAGTTCAAATTTATATTCAAATAATTTCTAAAGTTAAAATTAATATATCATATAGATAATTACAACAGAAAACTTTTCAAATTACACTTCTGAATTATACAGTTCCAAGTCCGATATCATATATGAATCTGTATGATTAAATCTCGTTAATTTTTCGGTCATTTATGTTACACAAAATCAGAGAATCCACCAAGGAGAACTCACCAAGTTCTGTATCTGGCGATTCTGCTCGGCGGCGAGCCTAGCGATGTCACTCTCGGTTTTCCGCACGAACTTAAGCATCTCCACGGGGCCGAGTCGCAGAAATTCGTCGTCGCTGATCCTCTGTCTGACCGGCGCGCTCTGGCCGTTGTTCACCGCCGGATACTGACTGCTGGGTGGCAAGTATTGACCTTGGCCGAGTTTAGGCTGTTGGAGGTAAGTTGACAGCTGCGGTTGTTGTTTTTTTTTCCGCCGATGCGGCAGCGATCAGCGGATTACCCGGTTGGGGATGATGATGATGATGCTCTATCCTTGGCGAGTATTTGCTTTGCGCATCCTTCGACGGTGGCTGCTGCTGCGATTGCTGCTGTGATTGAGTTGGTTGCTGCGATTGATGCTGCTGCTGATGATGCTGCGAAGACGGCGGGGGTGGCGGCAACGTGCGCGGCTGTGTGCTCTGATGATGGTTCAAGGCCGCGCCTGGGCCTTGATTACTGCCGGTCTGAGCCAAACCTGGCGCGGATGTACCTCCGTTGGTGAAGTGTAGGTGGTTCTTCAAGATGCCGCTGGTAGGCTGCGGCGGGGGCTGATAGCGCGGCGGCAATTGGTCCACTGGCTTGATCACGTGCGGAGGATGTTGCTGCTGCTGCTGCTGTTGCTGCTGATAATGCTGCGGCTGCGGCTGCTGCTGCTGCTGCGACTGGGACTTACTCTTATTGGACATCGCGGCTAATTTAGCTCCAGGCTGTGCCGTGTCCCATTTCAGAAAGTCCGCCGCGGCCTCCTCGCGCCGGTTTGACCCGCCGAAATCTGGGTCAGCGCGCAATCTCTCACGAGTTTTTTTTCCCGGTCCGCGCGACCGGCCCCGCGCGATACATACGTTCCCTCCACCGACACCCGGGCCTCGCCTTATCGCCGTAGGGGACCTTGCTCGCGCGCTACTCTTTCGACGACCGATTTCTGCGTTCTCCTTCTCTTCCTCTTCTTCGGCTTTTTTGCCTCCTATTCGCCTTCTTTCGCGCGCTTCTTATTCCGAGTGCACCTGTTGCCAGCGGCGCCTTACGAAAGAGTCTCGTTTACCGAGAATCACATCACTTGTTATGATTCACTTACAGTCCGTTTTTTTTTTTCAGCGTTAGTTAATCTCAACTTTCTATCCGCATTGCAGATTATGGCTCAGAAAAGACAGAGCGGCAATTATGATCCAGGTAACTTTATCCAACGATCAACCGGAGATGAAGAAATTGGACGCTAGTCATTTCTGCGAAGTTGCCATCACGATTATAGGTCATCCACATCCGTATTTTCCAAGAAATTGCATGTCTTTGACGACTCACAATGCACTCTGAAAGAACATCATGTTAAATCGCATTAACATCCCGGAGTTAAATAGATCGTCGTAATTGAAAGCAATTATTGGAGCATTCACCAATGTTCGTCGAACGTCCGGATATATTCAGTGAGTACGTTTTCTTGTATAAGTGCTGCTCACTTTCGAGACTACTATCACCGCTCGACTCTCGTACACGCGTCAACGTCGTAACAGTCGCACAATCGTGGCCTTCGCGTACAACTTAAGCAGCATGCTACTCACAATCGACATACCAGTCTCTCATACCACTAATCCCCGCAGTAACACCGATTCCCCTCTATCAGCTAGTCTACGGGTCTCCCGTTCTCTCTGCGGCTTGGATGCCCTTCGCTTCAAGTGTACCGTGGGTAAGCGAAGCACGGATTGTCGTATCTTAATTCTCCTCTCGCAACGCTCACACGTTTCCCTTCTCTTTCTTTCGCTCTTTTCCATATACCACAGATGTGAGGCGAGTGTCATACCAATTTGCGCGGTTCTCGTTAAGAGGAACACACTCTGCTCTTCTCCTCGTTCGCAGCAAAGATACACCAATTCTCGTCTATTAGCAGCACGTTCTCCACCTTCACCTCGGATACACGGATACTGTCGGATGTAAACCAAGTCTGCAGTCCCTTTTTATCAGCCTTTTCACTGTAAATCCAAGGGTGTAAAATGTGGCTTCAGTATATGTATTAGTTTTCCGTGTAAAAATAATATATTGCATACAAATATGAATTAACACATTTAATATTATTAATAGGTTTTAAGATACCGTCAGCATCAGATTATTAAGATCTTTCTAAGATGTCCATGAGCAATAATATTATTAAATTGCTCGTCAATTTAATGATTGACATTAATATTCTAGTTCTGTTAGAATAATTGTGTTTCAAGACTGAAAATTAAATTCGGCGCGCAGTTTGCAGGATTGGATACGAGTATAAATTCAAGCCGAATTATTTAAGCACTAAAGATCCAGCTTGATCATTTAAAGCTTTTACTTCCTATTTGTCGTGCATTCACATTACGGTCTTAGATACTTTGTTTAACATTTAAACGTGTAGTATAGTGTCACTTTTACACGGAAAACTAAATAACACACATAGCCCAGGCAACACAGAATATTTATGATAAATATTTATTATTATTCATTTTTTAAAATGTTATATAAATATTTTATACATATTTTTTTTTATATAAAGCTTTATTCGAAATATTATTAAAAGATAAACTTTAAATATTTAATGTAATATTTATGATAAATATGTATAAATAAACATTTTTGTTAAGTATATTTTATTTGAATCATAATGTCTTGTTAAGTATTTCCTTAGCATTTACTACAAGGTTTACAACAAATATGTCATAACGCTTGTAATAAATATTTATGATTTATATAATCTAAGACCACAAAAATATTTACAAAATATTTAAAATGAGCCTTATAAATATTTATAAATATTTTGTAAATATTTTATAAATATTGTGTGCTGTCTGGGAGGTATACATTGAAGTCATTTCTTACACACTTGGATTTTCAGGGTATGCGTCACGCCTTCACGTGCCTCACCTCTCGCTTCGCAGGAAGAACAAACACGCCGCCTTGCTCCAAGCACTGTCCTGTCACCTTGGCTCCCAGTAGATCGTTCGCCACTCAGAGATCGAAGCAATTCCGATCCGCGTAGTCTGTCATCGTCCTGTCGCAGACGGCGCGAAAGACGTCGAGTCGACGGAAGGAAGCCCGCTACGTGTCCGCGAGACGCCGTCGCCGTCGTCGTTCCACCTGGCTTTCGCTCCCTGTTCCCCTTTGTCCCCCTGCACGCCCTGGCCCGCGGCCTCATAGGAGACGCGCATTCCGCGCTGTCACCCGATCTGCGCGTCGAGCTCGTCGAAGGCACGTCCGGGGGCCTCCGTGTATATACTCGCGAGTAGGACTTAGCGGTCGCCGCGGCACGACCGCCGTGGCTGCACTCCGCGCTGGCAATGCCCTGGCCCGCTCGCTCTTCGACGGCCGCTGCGCGCCGGGTCCCCGTTTTTCTCGCCGGCGGGCCGCATTTCACGGGCTGCCCAGTGCCGTCTTCACCCGGCCGGGCCCGCGTTGACGCGTCTTCAACGATCTCCTTAAATTGCGCAACGCATTTCCTCACTCAATCGTCGTTGAGAGTTCCTTTTTTGATGTATCTTCAATCTATTACGTTTATTATTTTCGAAGCTTGGCTCAAAATTGCGAAGTTCCTCTTCCTGCTCTTACTTAGCGATTTATTGGTTAAACGTTGGGATGTATTGAGCCAATATTAGATTAATATTGTACAAATATTGCACCAATAAATTGTGCTACTATTATAGGGTTCATTCTTCCGTTAATTTCCAAGACGCTTATCATGAGTATTAATAAATAAATAATTAATAAATGAATCTCTTATTTTTATTATTATTTCACGATTCAATGTGGTGTCATATCCTTGTAATTTTGTTTTACCTGTGTAATTCAAATTATTCTTGATAGGTCTTTCATAACGATCGATTTTCAATCCCCTCTAGGTTGATCAGCGCAATGATTTTACTGAAGTATCCGATGATCACGACTTTTAGAACTCATCATTAAAACTCACTCGTTACGAGTCTAACAACATCGGTGAGTGATTTATCGATGATGTTTCGTCGATACTCATATGGGCCCCGACTTGCACGAGCCGTCGTGTTCGAAACAATTCGGAGTCACGTACTAACAACATGGCGGACCGCTCGCGGGACTTGATTCTTGAAGTGATTGCGGACGACGCCGGGCCCCCGTGAGGCCCAGCGCGGGAACTGCGCCGTGATGGCGCGATCTCCCGATTGGTTCGCGAAGAGAGAGGGTTGAAGCGTGAGCTACGAAGACGTGGGAGGACCTGCGAGGACGGCACGTAGGGCCCCGCGACTCGTTAGGGCCCTATACGGACCCAATAACAAAATCGAGGAAATGACGGTAAATACAGATTCTGACTGATGTGATTAATTGCAATTTAATTCGGAAGCGCAAATTGAGATGACCAATTTATTTCCGTTTTTTATTCTTTAATTCAATTTTTAATTTAAATTACTTTAATTTACATTTTAATAAAATGTAGATTAAAGAATAAAAAGATTTTATTTTAATTTTTAATTTACATTTATAAACTTTGTCCAGAAACTTCACTTGGGTGCACTCTAGGATTGCCAAATTTAATATCAACACTTCCACGGGACATGTCTGAGGCAATGGTTGAAAAATGGATTAAGTATTTGAGTTAAATTTTTAGTTAGTATTTTCTTGTAAACTATGGTACACTTCGATCGGATCATTTTTTTTATGATAACATTTTAAACACTGATATAACTTTTTTTAAGGTAGAAAGGCGAATTGGAAACTAGGATGTGATACCCAGACAGCATAGAATATTTATGATAAATATTTATTAATATTCATTTTTATAAATGTTATATAGATATTTAATATATATTTTATATAAAGTTTTATTCGAAATATTATT